AAAATGCTGCAAACATGTCCACTCTTACTGGCTTGAAAGAGTCCAAGAACAGAGTAATGGAAAGGGCACTGAATTTTTTCAGAGGAATGGGTTGTTATGCTATGACCTTGGCAATTCACTTCTTGCTGTGCCTCAGTTTCCTCATTTGTGATATAAGGGCATTGGACTGGATGGCTGCTGAGGCTTTTTCCCATCTCTAATAATGGTCTTTGATTCTATGAGATTCCATAAACTAACTCCAGAGGGTCAGAGCTCAGAGAACTGAGCAATTGTTTGACTGTCAACTCAGTTCAAGAGGAATGCAGGAGTTATACCAACAAAGGTATATTTCCAGCTGAGCTTGATTAGAACATGTCTGTAGGGAAATATCTAATGAGGTTTTCCTGTTCTGGATTGTGGTGAGCCAGCCCCAGATCCCTTCCATTGGGCTCCAGCCCATGGCATCATCAGCCGTTCTCCTGATGTAACTTCCCCTAGTGGTAACCATCCCTGAATGGAATCTGAGTCAGTCTCTGACTCTGGGAGGCCAGTCATAGATCACTAGATTTTTGACCAAAAATGGATTGAGAAAGCTTTGATAAAAGCCTTAGGCATCAGAAGACCTTTTAGTTGAAAGTACTCACTACCTCCCTATTTGAGACTATTAGTTCATGGTTACACCGACTGTATTTTACAAAAACTACTGCTGGAATTATCTAGGACAGGCAACATTCTCTGGACAGAACACTCACATTACCATTAGAGGACTTTTTCCCTATCCTGCTCCTTTTTCCAAATTTGAAGATAGTTAAGAGCTTAGGATGGATATGTAGACAGGGGAAATAATATACTAGCAAAAGTAACTTATTATATCTTTATTCTCCTTAAATAAAACGTGCCTTTATTTTGGGAGTATAACAATTTTACCAAATCAAATATCTTTTTAAGAATTTGATGTGACTTGCTATTTTGCACACTTAAAGCAAGATTACTAATATTGTTACTATTAATAACTCATTTAATTTTACACTTTACAAAGTACTTTCCCCATAAATGTGAAGTAGGCTGTGTAAGCTTTATTCCCATCTTACAAATGAGTAAATTGAAACCCAAAGAGGATTAAGTGCCTTGTTTACTATAATAGAGCTAGAAAGTGGCAGAACCAAGACTCAGAAGACCTGGATTCAAGTTCAGGGCTCTTTTCATTATGCCATGCTATTTCTCAGTAAGGATGAAACTGTTCCATTCAATTTATTTTTCACAAGGCAGAACAATGAGGTTGTAAGGGGGAAAATATAGAAGGTTCTAGTACTTTGTTTTATTTTTTAAAAATTAGCTGTGTCTAGCAGATCAGGTTATAAACCAAAACAGAAAGAAGTTTGAAATTAAACCCCCAACCCATGAAGTCTTTCCCAAGTCATTATAACTGAAGCAGTTTCAGTTTGTATGTCAACCTCCAAGCTTTTGTTTGTTCATACATTCATGCATTCCATTTGACTTAACAAAAAATGATTATGCTCATGGCAAGGGACTCTGCTATTCATTGAGGGGTACAAGTAAGAATGAGCCATGGAGCCACAGTCTAGTGATGGAGATGAAGCACATATATACATAACAGTTGGAACAAGATGGAATGTGAAGGTGCTATATCAGAGGTATTCAGTTGTGAGGTCAAAGGAGCAAGAGATTACTTTTCACTGGGGGAGAATCAGGGCAGGCGTTATGGACCTTAGGCATTTGAGCTGGACCTTAAAGGATGGATAGGACCAAGGAAATTAAAGGAGAGATGAGGGCATTCTAGGCAAAGGGACCAGTGAACGCAGGGTGGCAGGAGCTCTTTTAACACATTTGGGAAACAGCAGACAATCCAATGTGACCCAAGTCTAGAGTGACTGAAGAGGAGTAGTGGAAGATAAGATTGGAAAGGTAAAATGGGACCAAATGTCAATGTGTCTTAACTGCCAGGCAAAGAAGACTTGGCAAGAATTTAGGGATGCTCCCCATCCTCACTTGGTAGTTCTTTTTTTTCACTTCCCATTTTCCTTAGCACCCATCTGTGTGTAAATGCCATATTTGAACCAGCCTGAGCACCAAGAGGAAGACCAGATTACCAAAGTAGCTTGTTATTTTGTTGGCCTTCATGTTTACATTGCTATTGAAAAGAGAGCAGGCCTGAGTGATGTAATAAGATAGAATATACCAGGCCTGGTTGTACACCTCATAGAATATTGAGGAATGAACAGGTAAGATAAGTTTTTTTGTTCTTACACAATAGCCCTTTCCCTGAACAGTTAAGTGCCAATCCATGTCAGTCACTGAATTTAAAAAGTCCATTCAAGAACCTCCTACACCAGAACGTCTCTGACTCACCTCTGTGTGTGCTATATTATATCAGGGAGTGTAGGGGTGGGGCAGGTATTGCTTTCTATTGGCTTTCCTTAGCTAATTGTGGGTAGAGCACACAACACCTTGAAAACTCCTCAAGGGTAGCATCTATCGTTTCAATTTCTCTTTTGTCTCCTCCCACTCTCCCCAAGGTACCTAATAGGGCTGTTCTCAATAAATGCCAATTGCCTGAATGAGTCAGTGGCATTATGTCCAGCTGATTTTATTCTCGATGTCCTTATCCCATGGAGAACTCACATTTTAGTGGGTGGTTCACCTTAAAGTAGGAATTCTTAACCTGGAGTTCATGAACTTGCTTTTAAAAATATTGATATCTAGGGGAAGCTAGGTGGTGCAGTGGATAGAGCACCGGCCCTGGATTCAGGAGGACCTGAGTTCAAATCCGACCTCAGACACATAACACTTACTAGCTGTGTGACCTTGGGCAAGTCACTTAATCCCACTGCCTAGCCAAAAAAAAAAAAATTTGATAACTATTTCCATACAATTGGTTTCGTTTTCATGTATTTAAAAACATTATTCTGAGAAGGGGCCCATAGGCTTCACCAGCTTATTAAAAACAGTCCATCACATACATACATACACACACATGTTAAGGACTCATGGACAAGAGCAGGTATGTGGGATGTTCAGAGAATCTCGACTTAGAGTCAAGAGGGCCCTGGGCTCAGTCCCTAGCACTGTCATTTTCTAGCTGTATGACCAATGCGCAGATCACTTTTTCCTGCTTAATTTCAGGTGAGGATAATACTATTTGTACTACCTACCTCCCTGGGTAGGTTTTGAGGAGTGTTTTAGAAACCTTTTAAGTGTTATCAAAGTATAAGATAATAATAATAGTGTTGTTGTTGTTGTTATTGGACCAGAACTCTGATTTAGTTGGTAAAGATAACTCATAAGTGAGGAAATTCTGTCTACCAAAACCACCTGGCACTTGTTCTACAGCAGTCTTAGAAAGTTGCCTGGAATATGGAAAGGTTAAGTAATAATAGCTAACATTTACATAGTGCTTACTGTGTGCCAGGCACTCTGCTAAGCTCTTTACAATTATCTTATTTGATCCTCACGACAACTCTGGGAGGTAGGTGCCGTTATTATCCCCATTTTTAACAGATGAGGAAACCGAGGCAAACAGAGGTTAAGTGACTTGCCCAGGGTCACACAATCTATATATGTCAGAGCTGGGAATTGAACCCAAGCCTTTTGGACTTCAAGGCTGATTCTCTATCCATTTACATCATACATACTTTCTCTCAAACTAATATTATTTATATATGAATAACAATGCATCGTGGGGTCACATAGTCCTGTGTCCTTTGAGAAGCTCAGTAGCACCATGGACCCTCTGACATCCATATCCACAGTCTGTTCAGGTGTCAGAGGCAGCTTCCTGCCTGTTGTCTTTCTTTCTCTAAGGGGCAGCACATCACTTCACCTTTAATGTTCATACCAAAGAATGGTTTTGTTGTGGTTCTGCTCTCTGTCTGAGCATCTCCCCTGTGCCCTGCAATGGACTGGACTATGCTGTGGGCAGTACTGACTTAGAAAACACAGAGAGCTCCCATTCTGGTATATAGATGAGACTAACACAGAAGCAGGTAGGGGACAGTGGATGGAAGTATGCAAGGATAGAGTGATGGGCCTGGAGTCAGGAAGACCTGAGTTCAAATTTGGCCTTAGACACTTACTAGCTGTGTGACCTTGGGCAAGTCACTTAACCTCTGTTTCCTTATCTAATAGCACTTACTTCCCTGGGTTGTTGTGAGCCTCAAATGAGATGATAATTGTAAAGCACTGGCACATAGAAAGCACTATATAAATGTTAGCTATTATTAGTAGATATTACTATTAAACCCCCAAGTAAATGGCATGGTTCCTATGATCTGTAGGAGTTCAGAGAAAAGAAAAGTTAGTCTGAGCCTCAATAGTTGGGGATGACTTTGTGGAGATGACATGAGGCAGGCCTTGAAGAATAGAATAGAATAGAAGTATATATATCTTGAATTGAGACATGTATGTAGGGAATGTTTTTTCACACCATGGGAAAGAGTTGGGAAGGCTAGGTGACTATGCTAAGGAAGTGGACTAGCATGGACAAAGGTAGCTTCTTCCAACTGTAACTTCCTCCTGGCAAAGGGAGGTGGAAGATCACTTCACTTAAGACTGAGGAGTCCAGAGTTCAAATCCAAGTTCCAGCTTTTAATAGCTATGTGACCTTGACCAAGTCACTTTCTTTTTCTGAGCTTCAGATTTCTTATCTCTAAAGAAGAGCTGATGATACTTGCAATGCCTGCCCTCCAGAATTGTTATGTGGAAAGCTCTTTGTAAACCTTAAAGCAGCATACAAAATGGAATCGGTTTTTTTAAAAAAAAAATTATTATTGTTTATCCCTTTGGGGAGAAAGAGAGGGATAGGCTTTTGCCCCTGAACTAATCTTGTAGGTAATAATGAGAATATCTACCTAAACTCTTTGAATAAAAGGAAAAGCTAAAGTAAAAGGGAAGGACTGAGTCAGGCATTTATGCCCTGCCTTTAAAAATGAAATTATTGAACCATTATCACCTATGATCCTAAAATCCCTAATTCCTTTTCTCATCAATGTTGTTTGTTCTAGTCTCTGTCTGCTGTTGCCTCTTTATTCTGTTCCTCTTCCTCTCGGAGCTCACTGGATTCATAGCCACTGAAGTGTAAGTAAAGTTTCCTTGACCGGGGAATCATGTTTTGGGGGTTCAGAGGGGGTGGGAGGTGAGTGTCGTGCCAGCAGCCCCTTTCTGACCCTGCACTGGTGAGAACCCTCTGTTGGCTGGTTGTCTCATTTTTCTTTTTTTTCAAATGCACGAGAAGCATTGCAGTCTTTCTTATTCCCTCTCTGAGTCTCTGGTATATTGGTATGTTTGTCTTTAAGTCTGATGTAACCCTCCATTGTATTTAGTAACTACGCAGCATAGATGCTTTGGAGTTTCTGGGTCTCCCTAGAAAATGTATAAAGTTTGTCCACTTAGGCTGTTTCCTCACATTTTACATGAGAGCTTTTTCCTGGGAATCAGTGAATATTTGATCCTATATGAAAGAAAAAGTTCCTTCATAGAAGGGGAAGTTCCAGGCACATTACACTCGGCTTTCACATCAAAGCCTTTTCCCCTTGAACTCTCTTTCCTGTTTGAATGTTCTCATTTTTTAGTTACTAGTAAGTCTCTGCTTCCTGACAGGGTTTGACGCAGGGTGAATCCATACTCAATTCCTAGAATTATTCATCGCCTTCATAATCTCCTAGTAAACTCATTAGGATGTGCCTAACTCTACATTCCATTGGAATTATCTAATCATGGTCACATAAAACTCCTCTTCTAAAATGGAATTAGAAACAGGAGGTTACAGATTGAGAGCTGACATCCCCGACCTAGAACTTGGTTGGAGTCTCATTGCCCACATCATTTAGGGGTTTATGACCAGCAGCCAATCATAGGGTACAACCTTTGCCATAGTTCTGGTATTGTTTGTGTTGTTGTGTTTTGCTCAAATTTTCATGATTTCTTTGGGGTTTTTTGCTTGTGATGTGTGTTGTTTCTTATTTCTTTCCCCTTTTTTAAATTTCCCAGTGGCTTGTATACACATACGCACGTGCACACACGTGACCTATTTAATTAGAAATGGCTGGCACATCTCAAGGTATAATTTAGAAGACAGACCTTAGAGATGATCTCACTCCTTATTTTAGAAACAGAAACTGAGGCCCCCAAGGGTTGTGACTTGCCCAAGGTCACATAATAAATGGCAAAGCCAGGATTAGAACCCAAGTCATCTGAGTTGTAAGGGCTCTTTCCCTATTATACTATGATCCTTAGTCTCATCTCACATTTTGGTATTCCAACTCTTATGTTCCCAGAAAAAGAGAATTTACGTTAGTTTTTATTACCACTTACAGAAACCAGCCCATGAGAATTTTGACACAGGAAAGGAACAATGAATGACCTAAAGCTTATTCACTTACTTCAGAGCGTAATGGCCCCTCGTTCTCCAGGGTGAGAGCTTATCTTCACTGTCGATCTGTTCCTGTTCCCAGACCTGCTAACCCAGGGTAGCAGAGAGGAGATGGGATTGTCCAGGGACTGCATTAGGTTGGAAAGGGCACCAAGCTGGTCTTGGTTCTACCACTTACCTGGCCATGCAATTATGGACAAATTATTCCCTCTTTAGGCCTCAGTTTTATAACTTTGACATTCTGACTCTATACCTATCCTGCATGAAATGATGGCTATGAAATTGATTTGTGACACTTGGTAGCTTGTAAAGTCAGACATAAAGTGTTAACTGCTCTTCTCTCCCATGGCACAACTTTGCCAGAGTCCTCTCTGAAAGGAGAATTCTTACAGTGTCATAGATTTAAAGCTGAAAGGGACCTTTAAGGGCATCAAGGTTGGCTCTTTCATTTGGCAGATGAGGAAACTCAGGCCCAGAGAGGTTAACTGACTTGCTTAGGGTCACACAGCTAGAAAGTATTTGAAGCAACATTTGAACCCAGCTCTTCCAGACTTCAAATCCAGGGCACTATCCACTACACCAGAAGTATCAAATTCCCAAGCAGGGCTAGAACCAGATTAAAATATAATTGGGAAATGTTTATAAAATAAATAAAATAAAATGCAACACAGATAATATTAATTTGTGGTTTTCTAAATCGGTATGTGGCCAGCAGGAATCCCTTTCTATTTTAGTGTTACACCACTGAACTATACTACCACTGTCTCACAAAGGAGGCTTCAGTGACTGGAACCAAACCTGAGCCTTGACAAAAGCACCATATCCTAGTTATTCAATCTCCTCAGTACTGAAGACAGCAGAATAGACCTTTTCCATATTGTCAATGCTACCCCTTCTTTTCTATATTCTTTGATAACCTGCATCTTTTCACCTTTGTGTGCTTGAGTCCTCTGCCAAGGGCAAGGGTCAACAGAGCCATTTATTTGTGATTGGGAATGCAGAGAACAGTGCAATGGCTGTTGTTGGAAATAGCCGGCCTTGTGAGCGACAGTGATGCATTAGGGGTTATTTTTTTTAACCTCATCTCTTTCACATGAAAAATTTCAGGCCTTTGAGGTATTTATACCTATTCATTTATTTATCAAAAATTTATTAAGCAACCTTCTTTGTCCCCGGTACTATACCAGGTGCTAAAGGAAACACAAAGTTTAATTAGGATACTTCTGCCCTCGAGTTCTGGGTAGAAGGCAAATACAACAATAATACACAGCTTTGTATGACAAGCACATTAAAGAGATCTAACATAAAGGGTTTTGATGAGGGTAAAAGGTCATTTATTTTTACAGGAGATCAGGAAAGGCTTTGTGGAAACAGTTACATTTGAGGTAAGCTTTAAAAGATGGGGAGGAACTCCAGAGTGAAGGGAAAGATATTCCAAGGATGTGCCAAAGTGAAAGCAGAAGCTTGGAGACTGAGAGTCTTCTATCTGGTGGCCATATGGGACCCTCTGTCAGTACCACTGTGTGCTGTGCTATCGTCTCCCTTCAGAGTTTTTTGTTTCTTGATTTGAGATGTCCTAAAAGCTCTTCTTCTATTATCTTTCCTTTCCTTACACAGGGTCTGAAATTGCCACTGGTAAGTTAAGAAAATGCCACCATTTTTTTTTGTTCTGAGTTTTGTTTGCATTAAAATGCCAGGAGTTTATCTTGGAAAGACAACACATTAATCCTTAAGCATCCATTAATAACAAGCATAGACCACAGAATTTAAGAGCTAGAAGGGAATTGAATGGTTAGTTCAGCTGATAGCTGAAAAAAAATCCAGTCTACCATATGCCTAACCAGTGGTCCTAGGAAAGACCCTAGCTTAAAAAAGCCAAGGGCACTCACTGTATCTGGAGCTATTGCCAGTAGTCTTGACCTATGTCTTGCCCACTGGACTCTATTGACTGTGGAGGAGAGAGTGAGGCTGATGACCTTGCACAGCTCTGCCTCACTTAAATCTATTTCATTTGCAAGTCAAGACATCACCCTCCTAATATCATTGGTCCTCTTTGAGAATGAACCAGTGGTCAGTCATTGGGCCCTTGCCTTAAGACCTCCAATAAGAGGAAAACAGCCTCCTGAGTCCTACTCTTAGATACGTTTTATTCTTAGGTTCCCCCCCCCCAAAATAAGCCTACATTTTGTCTCTTAGCAATTTCTGCCCACTGTTCCTAGTTTTGTCATTTGAGGTCAAAAAGAAACAGTGTAATCTTTCTTCCACATGGCAGTCCTTCTACTATTTGAAGACAGTTCTCCTGTTTCCCCTAGGACTTCTCTTCCCCAGACTCAATAGCCCCAGTTCCTTCAGCTGACCCTCTTCTGACGTTAGCCAGTGGCCCTTCCCATTATAGTTGATCTCTCTCCAGCTTTATCAACATCCATCCTAAAACATACTGCCCAGAAGTGAATGACGTGGCCTTCTGAGGGCAGGGGACAGCAGGACAGTCATGCCTTATCATTCCTTGAAGCTCTTTTTTTCTTTTATAATTTTCTTTTATTTTTTCCACTTAATAGTATTTTATTTTTTTGAGTTATGTGTAAAAATAGTTTTCAACATTCACTTTTATAAGATTCTGAGTTCCAAATTTTTTTCTTCCTCTCTCTCCCCTCCCCAAGACAGCAAGCAATACGATATAGACTATACATGTACAATTATATTAAACATATTTCCACATTAGTCATGTTGTGAAAGAAGAATCAGAACAAAAGGGAAAAACCATGAGAAAGAAAAAAAAGAGAGAAAATAGTATGCTTCGCTCTGCATTCCAACTCTGTAGTTCTTTCTCTGGATGTTGATAGCGTTTCCATCATGAGTCTTTTGGAATTGTCTTAGATTATTGTATTGTTGAGAAGAGCTACGTCTATCAAAGTTGATCATTGCACAATGTTGCTGTTACTGTGTACAATGTTCTCCTGATTCTGCTCACTTCACTCAGCATCAGCTCATATAAGTCTTTCCAGGTTTTTCTGAAGTCTGCCTTCTCATCATTTCTTATAGCACAGTAGTATTATAACAGAACTTGTTCAGTCATTTTGCAATTGATGGGCATCCCCTCAATTTCCAATTTTTTTGCCACCACAAAAAGAGCTGCTATAAATATTTTTGTACATGTGGGTCCTTTTCCCTTCTTTATGGTCTTTGAGATACAGATCTAGTAATAGTATTGTTGGATCGAAGGGTATGCACAGCTTTATAGCCCTCTGGGCATAGTTCCAAATTGTTCTCCAGAATGGTTGGATCCATTCACAAAGCCACCTACAATGTAGTAGTGTTCTGATTTTCCCACGTTCGCCAACATTTATCATTTTCCTTTTTTTGTCATATTATCCAATCTGATAGGTGTGAGGTGGTACCCCAGAGTTGTTTTAATTTGCATTTCTTTAATCAATTTAGGAAGCTCTACTTTTCTTAATGCAGACCAAGATCACAGCTGGTTCCCAGGAAGGACCTTGAGGGAATGGTTTATAAAACAGTTATATTTTGATGAAGGATCCAGACCATCAGATGATATTTTTAGCTCATGTTCTTAAAGCTCTTTACTATAATATATGCAAAAAAGGTGGTAGTGGGGAAGATGAGAGAAACAGGTAGAGTGTAGAGTAATAATAATAATAGTTTACCTTTAAAAATTCCATGGGAGGGGGATTGAGCCTGGAGGAAG